AGTAAAATACAAAATTTTTCCCTTGTTCTCAGGTGAAAACCTGGTAGAAAAACCACCGGAGAACCCGTGACAAGACAAAGTTTTGTCGCTGACAAAGATTCTTTACAGAAAACCAAATTTAAAAAGCCTACTTTCAATCTTTTCTTGAATTAAGTAAAATACAAAATTTTTCCCTTGTTCTCAGGTGAAAACCTGGTAGAAAAACCACCGGAGAAACCGTGACAAGACAAAGTTTTGTCGCTGATAAAGATTCTTTACAGAAAACCAAATTTAAAAATCCTACTTTCTTTACTTTTTTGAATTATGTAAAATACAAAATTTTCACCTCGTTCTCAGGTGAAAACCTGGTAGAAAAACCACCGGAGAACCCGTGACAAGACAAACTTTTGTCGCTGACAAAGATTCTTTACAGAAAACCAAATTTAAAAAGCCTCCTTTCAATGTTTTCTTGAATTAAGTAAAGTACAAATTTTTTCCCTCTTTCTGAGGTCAAAACCTGGTAGAAAAACCACCGGAGAACCCGTGACAAGACAAAGTTTTGTCGCTGACAAAGATTCTTTACAGAAAACCATATTTATAAAGCATAATTTCAATCTTTTCATGAATTAAGTAAAATACAAAATTTTTCCCTTGTTCTCAGGTGAAAACCTGGTAGAAAAACCACCGGAGAACCCGTGACAAGACAAAGTTTTGTCGCTGACAAAGATTCTTTACAGAAAACCAAATTTAAAAATCCTACTTTCTTTATTTTCTTGAATTATGTAAAATACAAAATTTTCACCTCGTTCTCAGGTGAAAACCTGGTAGAAAAACCACCGGAGAACCCGTGACAAGACAAACTTTTGTCGCTGACAAAGATTCTTTACAGAAAACCAAATTTAAAAATCCTACTTTCTTTATTTTCTTGAATTATGTAAAATACAAATTTTTTTCCTCTTTCTGAGGTGAAAACCTGTAGAAAAACCACCGGAGAACCCGTGACAATATAAATTTTTGTCGCTGACAAAGATTCTTTACAGAAAACCAAATTTAAAAAGCCTACTTTCAATCTTTTCTTGAATTAAGTAAAGTACAAATTTTTTCCCTCTTTCTGAGGTCAAAACCTGGTAGAAAAACCACCGGAGAACCCGTGACAAGACAAATTTTTGTCGCTGACAAAGATTCTTTACAGAAAACCAAATTTAAAAAGCCTACTTTCAATCTTTTCTTGAATTAAGTAAAATACAAAATTTTTCCCTTGTTCTCAGGTGAAAACCTGGTAGTAAAACCACCGGAGAAACCGTGACAAGACAAAGTTTTGTCGCTGATAAAGATTCTTTACAGAAAACCAAATTTAAAAATCCTACTTTCTTTACTTTTTTGAATTATGTAAAATACAAAATTTTCACCTCGTTCTCAGGTGAAAACCTGGTAGAAAAACCACCGGAGAACCCGTGACAAGACAAACTTTTGTCGCTGACAAAGATTCTTTACAGAAAACCAAATTTAAAAAGCCTACTTTCAATCTTTTCTTGAATTAAGTAAAGTACAAATTTTTTCCCTCTTTCTGAGGTCAAAACCTGGTAGAAAAACCACCGGAGAACCCGTGACAAGACAAAGTTTTGTCGCTGACAAAGATTCTTTACAGAAAACCATATTTATAAAGCATACTTTCAATCTTTTCATGAATTAAGTAAAATACAAAATTTTTTCCTTGTTCTCAGGTGAAAACCTGGTAGAAAAACCACCGAAGAACCCGTGACAAGACAAAGTTTTGTCGCTGACAAAGATTCTTTACAGAAAACCAAATTTAAAAAGCCTACTTTCAATCTTTTCTTGAATTAAGTAAAATACAAAATTTTTCCCTTGTTCTCAGGTGAAAACCTGGTAGAAAAACCACCGGAGAAACCGTGACAAGACAAAGTTTTGTCGCTGATAAAGATTCTTTACAGAAAACCAAATTTAAAAATCCTACTTTCTTTATTTTCTTGAATTATGTAAAATACAAAATTTTCACCTCGTTCTCAGGTGAAAACCTGGTAGAAAAACCACCGGAGAACCCGTGACAAGACAAACTTTTGTCGCTGACAAAGATTCTTTACAGAAAACCAAATTTAAAAATCCTACTTTCTTTATTTTCTTGAATTATGTAAAATACAAATTTTTTCCCTCTTTCTGAGGTGAAAACCTGTAGAAAAACCACCGGAGAACCCGTGACAATATAAATTTTTGTCGCTGACAAAGATTCTTTACAGAAAACCAAATTTAAAAAGCCTACTTTCAATCTTTTCTTGAATTAAGTAAAGTACAAATTTTTTCCCTCTTTCTGAGGTCAAAACCTGGTGGAAAAACCACCGGAGAACCCGTGACAAGACAAAGTTTTGTCGCTGACAAAGATTCTTTACAGAAAACCATATTTATAAAGCCTACTTTCTTTATTTTCTTCAATTATGTAAAATACAAATTTTTTCCCTCGTTCTGAGGTGAAAACCTGGTAGAAAAACCACCGGAGAACCCGTGACAAGACAAAGTTTTGTCGCTGACAAAGACTCTTTACAGAAGACCAAATTTAAAAAGCCAACTTTCAATCTTTTCTTGAATTAAGTAAAATACAAATTTTTTCCCTCTTTCTGAGGTGAAAACCTGGTAGAAAAACCACCGGAGAACCCGCGACAATACAAAGTTTTGTCGCTGACAATGATTCTTTACAGAAAACCAAATTTAAAAATCCTACTTTCTTTACTTTCTTGAATTATGTAAAATACAAAATTTTCACCTCGTTCTCAGGTGAAAACCTGGTAGAAAAACCACCGGAGAACCCGTGACAAGACAAACTTTTGTCGCTGACAAAGATTCTTTACAGAAAAACAAATTTAAAAAGCATACTTTCAATCTTTTCTTGAATTATGTAAAATACAAATTTTTTCCCTCTTTCTGAGGTAAAAACCTGGTAGAAAAACCACCGGAGAACCCGTGACAAGACAAACTTTTGTCGCTGACAAAGATTCTTTACAGAAAACCACATTTATAAAGCATACTTTCAATCTTTTCATGAATTAAGTAAAATACAAATTTTTTCCCTCGTTCTGAGGTGAAAACCTGGTAGAAAAACCACCGGAGAACCCGTGACAAGACAAAGTTTTGTCGCTAACAAAGATTCTTTACAGAAAACCAAATTTAAAAAGCCTACTTTCAATCTTTTCTTGCATTAAGTAAAGTACCAATTTTTTCCCTCTTTCTGAGGTGAAAACCTGGTAGAAAAACCACCGGAGAACCCGTGACAAGACAAAGTTTTGTCGCTGACAAAGATTCTTTACAGAAAACCAAATTTAAAAATCCTACTTTCTTTATTTTCTTGAATTATGTAAAATACAAAATTTTCACCTCGTTCTCAGGTGAAAACCTGGTAGAAAAACCACCGGAGAACCCGTGACAAGACAAACTTTTGTCGCTGACAAAGATTCTTTACAGAAAACCAAATTTAAAAAGCCTACTTTCAATCTTTTCTTGAATTAAGTAAAATAAAAATTTTTTCCCTTGTTCTCAGGTGAAAACCTGGTAGAAAAACCACCGGAGAACCCGTGACAAGACAAACTTTTGTCGCTGACAAAGATTCTTTACAGAAAAACAAATTTAAAAAGCATACTTTCAATCTTTTCTTGAATTATGTAAAATACAAATTTTTTCCCTCTTTCTGAGGTAAAAACCTGGTAGAAAAACCACCGGAGAACCCGTGACAAGACAAACTTTTGTCGCTGACAAAGATTCTTTACAGAAAAACAAATTTAAAAAGCATACTTTCAATCTTTTCTTGAATTATGTAAAATACAAATTTTTTCCCTCTTTCTGAGGTGAAAACCTGTAGAAAAACCACCGGAGAACCCGTGACAAGACAAAGTTTTGTCGCTGACAAAGACTCTTTACAGAAGACCAAATTTAAAAAGCCAACTTTCAATCTTTTCTTGAATTAAGTAAAATACAAATTTTTTCCCTCGTTCTGAGGTGAAAACCTGGTAGAAAAACCACCGGAGAACCCGTGACAAGACAAACTTTTGTCGCTGACAAAGATTCTTTACAGAAAAACAAATTTAAAAAGCATACTTTCAATCTTTTCTTGAATTATGTAAAATACAAATTTTTTCCCTCTTTCTGAGGTGAAAACCTGTAGAAAAACCACCGGAGAACCCGTGACAAGACAAAGTTTTGTCGCTGACAAAGACTCTTTACAGAAGACCAAATTTAAAAAGCCTACTTTCAATCTTTTCTTGAATTAAGAAAAGTACCAATTTTTTCCCTCTTTCTGAGGTGAAAACCTGGTAGAAAAACCACCGGAGAACCCGTGACAAAACAAAGTTTTGTCGCTGACAAAGATTCTTTACAGAAAACCGAATTTAAAAAGCCTACTTTCAATCTTTTCTTGAATTAAGTAAAGTACAAATTTTTTCCCTTGTTCTCAGGTGAAAACCTGGTAGAAAAACCACCGGAGAACCCGTGACAAGACAAAGTTTTGTCGCTGACAAAGATTCTTTACAGAAAACCAAATTTTAAAATCCTACTTTCTTTATTTTTTTGAATTATGTAAAATACAAAATTTTCACCTCGTTCTCAGGTGAAAACCTGGTAGAAAAACCACCGGAGAACCCGTGACAAGACAAAGTTTTGTCGCTAACAAAGATTCTTTACAGAAAACCAAATTTAAAAAGCCTACTGTCAATCTTTTCTTTCATTAAGTAAAGTACCAATTTTTTCCCTCTTTCTGAGGTGAAAACCTGGTAGAAAAACCACCGGAGAACCCGTGACAAGACAAAGTTTTGTCGCTGACAAAGATTCTTTACAGAAAACCAAATTTAAAAAGCCTACTTTCAATCTTATCTTGAATTAAGTAAAATACAAATTTTTTCCCTCTTTCTGAGGTGAAAACCTGGTAGAAAAACCACCGTAGAACCCGTGACAAGACAAAGTTTCGTCGCTGACGAAGATTCTTTACAGAATATTAAATTTAAAAAACCTACTTTTAATCTTTTCTTGAATTAAGTAAAGTACAAATTTTTTCCCTCTTTCTGAGGTGAAAACCCGTAGAAAAACCACCGGAGAACCCGTGACAAGACAAAGTTTTGTCGCTGACAAAGATTCTTTACAGAAAACCAAATTTAAAAAGCCTACTTTCAATCTTTTCTTGAATTAAGTAAAATACAAAATTTTTCCCTTGTTCTCAGGTGAAAACCTGGTAGAAAAACCACCGGAGAACCCGTGACAAGACAAAGTTTTGTCGCTGACAAAGATTCTTTACAGAAAACCAAATTTTAAAATCCTACTTTCTTTATTTTCTTGAATTATGTAAAATAAAAAATTTTCACCTCGTTCTCAGGTGAAAACCTGGTAGAAAAACCACGCGAGAACCCGTGACAAGACAAACCTTTGTCGCTGATAAAGATTCTTTACAGAAAACCAAATTTAAAAAGCCTACTTTCAATCTTTTCTTGAATTAAGTAAAATACCAATTTTTTCCCTCTTTCTGAGGTGAAAACCTGGTAGAAAAACCACCGGAGAACCCGTGACAAGACAAAGTTTTGTCGCTGACAAAGATTCTTTACAGAAAACCAAATTTAAAAAGCCTACTTTCTTTAATTTCTTGAATTATGTAAAATACAAAATTTATCCCTTGTTCTCAGGTGAAAACCTGGTAGAAAAACCACCGGAGAACCCGTGACAAGACAAAGTTTTGTCGCTGACAAAGATTCTTTACAGAAAACCAAATTTTAAAATCCTACTTTCAATCTTTTCTTGAATTAAGTAAAATACAAAATTTTTCCCTTGTTCTCAGGTGAAAACCTGGTAGAAAAACCACCGGAGAACCCGTGACAAGACAAAGTTTTGTCGCTGACAAAGATTCTTTACAGAAAACCAAATTTTAAAATCCTACTTTCTTTATTTTCTTGAATTATGTAAAATAAAAAATTTTCACCTCGTTCTCAGGTGAAAACCTGGTAGGAAAACCACCGGAGAACCCGTGACAAGACAAAGTTTTGTCGCTAACAAAGATTCTTTACAGAAAACCAAATTTAAAAAGCCTACTTTCTTTAATTTCTTGAATTATGTAAAATACAAAATTTATCCCTTGTTCTCAGGTGAAAACCTGGTAGAAAAACCACCGGAGAACCCGTGACAAGACAAAGTTTTGTCGCTGACAAAGATTCTTTACAGAAAACCAAATTTTAAAATCCTACTTTCTTTATTTTTTTGAATTATGTAAAATACAAAATTTTCACCTCGTTCTCAGGTGAAAACCTGGTAGAAAAACCACCGGAGAACCCGTGACAAGACAAAGTTTTGTCGCTGACAAAGATTCTTTACAGAAAACCAAATTTAAAAATCCTACTTTCTTTATTTTCTTGAATTATGTAAAATACAAAATTTTCACCTCGTTCTCAGGTGAAAACCTGGTAGAAAAACCACCGGAGAACCCGTGACAAGACAAACTTTTGTCGCTGACAAAGATTCTTTACAGAAAACCAAATTTAAAAATCCTACTTTCTTTATTTTCTTGAATTATGTAAAATACAAATTTTTTTCCTCTTTCTGAGGTGAAAACCTGTAGAAAAACCACCGGAGAACCCGTGACAATATAAATTTTTGTCGCTGACAAAGATTCTTTACAGAAAACCAAATTTAAAAAGCCTACTTTCAATCTTTTCTTGAATTAAGTAAAGTACAAATTTTTTCCCTCTTTCTGAGGTCAAAACCTGGTAGAAAAACCACCGGAGAACCCGTGACAAGACAAATTTTTGTCGCTGACAAAGATTCTTTACAGAAAACCAAATTTAAAAAGCCTACTTTCAATCTTTTCTTGAATTAAGTAAAATACAAAATTTTTCCCTTGTTCTCAGGTGAAAACCTGGTAGTAAAACCACCGGAGAAACCGTGACAAGACAAAGTTTTGGCGCTGACAAAGATTCTTTACAGACAACTAAATTTAAAAAGCCTACTTTCTTTATTTTCTTGAATTATGTAAAATACAAAATTTTCACCTCGTTCTCAGGTGAAAACCTGGTAGAAAAACCACCGGAGAACCCGTGACAAGACAAAGTTTTGTCGCTGACAAAGATTCTTTACAGAAAACCAAATTTAAAAAGCCTACTTTCAATCTTTTCTTGAATTAAGTAAAGTACAAATTTTTTCCCTCTTTCTGAGGTGAAAACCTGGTAGAAAAACCACCGGAGAACCCGTGACAAGACAAAGTTTTGTCGCTGACAAAGATTCTTTACAGAAAACCAAATTTAAAAAGCCTACTTTCAATCTTTTCTTGAATTAAGTAAAATACAAAATTTTTCCCTTGTTCTCAGGTGAAAACCTGGTAGAAAAACCACCGGAGAACCCGTGACAAGACAAAGTTTTGTCGCTGACAAAGATTCTTTACAGAAAACCAAATTTAAAAAGCCTACTTTCAATCTTTTCTTGAATTAAGTAAAATACAAAATTTTTCCCTTGTTCTCAGGTGAAAACCTGGTAGAAAAACCACCGGAGAACCCGTGACAAGACAAAGTTTTGTCGCTGACAAAGATTCTTTACAGAAAACCAAATTTAAAAATCCTACTTTCTTTATTTTCTTGAATTATGTAAAATACAAAATTTTCACCTCGTTCTCAGGTGAAAACCTGGTAGAAAAACCACCGGAGAACCCGTGACAAGACAAAGTTTTGTCGCTGACAAAGATTCTTTACAGAAAACCAAATTTAAAAATCCTACTTTCTTTATTTTCTTGAATTAAGTAAAATACAAATTTTTTCCCTCTTTCTGAGGTGAAAACCTGGTAGAAAAACCACCGGAGAACCCGTGACAAGACAAAGTTTTGTCGCTGACAAAGATTCTTTACAGAAAACCAAATTTAAAAAGCCTACTTTCAATCTTTTCTTGAATTAAGTAAAATACAAATTTTTTCCCTCTTTCTGAGGTGAAAACCTGGTAGAAAAACCACCGGAGAACCCGTGACAAGACAAAGTTTTGTCGCTGACAAAGATTCTTTACAGAAAACCAAATTTAAAAAGCCTACTTTCTTTATTTTCTTGAATTATGTAAAATACAAATTTTTTCCCTCGTTCTGAGGTGAAAACCTGGTAGAAAAACCACCGGAGAACCCGTGACAAGACAAAGTTTTGTCGCTGACAAAGATTCTTTACAGAAAACCAAATTTAAAAAGCCTACTTTCAATCTTTTCTTGAATTAAGTAAAATACAAATTTTTTCCCTCTTTCTGAGGTGAAAACCTGGTAGAAAAACCACCGGAGAACCCGTGACAAGACAAAGTTTTGTCGCTGACAAAGATTCTTTACAGAAAACCAAATTTAAAAATCCTACTTTCTTTATTTTCTTGAATTATGTAAAATACAAAATTTTCACCTCGTTCTCAGGTGAAAACCTGGTAGAAAAACCACCGGAGAACCCGTGACAAGACAAAGTTTTGTCGCTGACAAAGATTCTTTACAGAAAACCAAATTTAAAAAGCCTACTTTCAATCTTTTCTTGAATTAAGTAAAATACAAATTTTTTCCCTCTTTCTGAGGTGAAAACCTGGTAGAAAAACCACCGGAGAACCCGTGACAAGACAAAGTTTTGTCGCTGACAAAGATTCTTTACAGAAAACCAAATTTAAAAAGCCTACTTTCAATCTTTTCTTGAATTAAGTAAAATACAAATTTTTTCCCTCGTTCTGAGGTGAAAACCTGGTAGAAAAACCACCGGAGAACCCGTGACAAGACAAAGTTTTGTCGCTGACAAAGATTCTTTACAGAAAACCAAATTTAAAAAGCCTACTTTCAATCTTTTCTTGAATTAAGTAAAATACAAATTTTTTCCCTCTTTCTGAGGTGAAAACCTGGTAGAAAAACCACCGGAGAACCCGTGACAAGACAAAGTTTTGTCGCTGACAAAGATTCTTTACAGAAAACCAAATTTTAAAATCCTACTTTCTTTATTTTCTTGAATTATGTAAAATACAAAATTTTCACCTCGTTCTCAGGTGAAAACCTGGTAGAAAAACCACCGGAGAACCCGTGACAAGACAAAGTTTTGTCGCTGACAAAGATTCTTTACAGAAAACCAAATTTAAAAAGCCTACTTTCAATCTTTTCTTGAATTAAGTAAAATACAAAATTTTTCCCTTGTTCTCAGGTGAAAACCTGGTAGAAAAACCACCGGAGAACCCGTGACAAGACAAAGTTTTGTCGCTGACAAAGATTCTTTACAGAAAACCAAATTTAAAAAGCCTACTTTCAATCTTTTCTTGAATTATGTAAAATACAAATTTTTTCCCTCTTTCTGAGGTGAAAACCTGGTAGAAAAACCACCGGAGAACCCGTGACAAGACAAAGTTTTGTCGCTGACAAAGATTCTTTACAGAAAACCAAATTTAAAAAGCCTACTTTCAATCTTTTCTTGAATTATGTAAAATACAAATTTTTTCCCTCTTTCTGAGGTGAAAACCTGGTAGAAAAACCACCGGAGAACCCGTGACAAGACAAAGTTTTGTCGCTGACAAAGATTCTTTACAGAAAACCAAATTTAAAAAGCCTACTTTCAATCTTTTCTTGAATTAAGTAAAATACAAATTTTTCCCTCTTTCTTAGGTGAAAACCTGGTAGAAAAACCACCGGAGAACCCGTGACAAGACAAAGTTTTGTCGCTGACAAAGATTCTTTACAGAAAACCAAATTTAAAAAGCCTACTTTCAATCTTTTCTTGAATTATGTAAAATACAAATTTTTCCCTCTTTCTGAGGTGAAAACCTGGTAGAAAAACCACCGGAGAACCCGTGACAAGACAAAGTTTTGTCGCTGACAAAGATTCTTTACAGAAAACCAAATTTAAAAAGCCTACTTTCAATCTTTTCTTGAATTAAGTAAAATACAAATTTTTTCCCTCTTTCTGAGGTGAAAACCTGGTAGAAAAACCACCGGAGAACCCGTGACAAGACAAAGTTTTGTCGCTGACAAAGATTCTTTACAGAAAACCAAATTTAAAAAGCCTACTTTCAATCTTTTCTTGAATTAAGTAAAATACAAAATTTTTCCCTTGTTCTCAGGTGAAAACCTGGTAGAAAAACCACCGGAGAACCCGTGACAAGACAAAGTTTTGTCGCTGACAAAGATTCTTTACAGAAAACCAAATTTTAAAATCCTACTTTCTTTATTTTCTTGAATTATGTAAAATACAAAATTTTCACCTCGTTCTCAGGTGAAAACCTGGTAGAAAAACCACCGGAGAACCCGTGACAAGACAAAGTTTTGTCGCTGACAAAGATTCTTTACAGAAAACCAAATTTAAAAAGCCTACTTTCAATCTTTTCTTGAATTAAGTAAAATACAAATTTTTTCCCTCTTTCTGAGGTGAAAACCTGGTAGAAAAACCACCGGAGAACCCGTGACAAGACAAAGTTTTGTCGCTGACAAAGATTCTTTACAGAAAACCAAATTTAAAAAGCCTACTTTCAATCTTTTCTTGAATTAAGTAAAATACAAAATTTTTCCCTCTTTCTGAGGTGAAAACCTGGTAGAAAAACCACCGGAGAACCCGTGACAAGACAAAGTTTTGTCGCTGACAAAGATTCTTTACAGAAAACCAAATTTTAAAATCCTACTTTCAATCTTTTCTTGAATTAAGTAAAATACAAAATTTTTCCCTCTTTCTGAGGTGAAAACCTGGTAGAAAAACCACCGGAGAACCCGTGACAAGACAAAGTTTTGTCGCTGACAAAGATTCTTTACAGAAAACCAAATTTAAAAAGCCTACTTTCAATCTTTTCTTGAATTAAGTAAAATACAAAATTTTTCCCTTGTTCTCAGGTGAAAACCTGGTAGAAAAACCACCGGAGAACCCGTGACAAGACAAAGTTTTGTCGCTGACAAAGATTCTTTACAGAAAACCAAATTTTAAAATCCTACTTTCTTTATTTTCTTGAATTATGTAAAATACAAAATTTTCACCTCGTTCTCAGGTGAAAACCTGGTAGAAAAACCACCGGAGAACCCGTGACAAGACAAAGTTTTGTCGCTGACAAAGATTCTTTACAGAAAACCAAATTTAAAAAGCCTACTTTCAATCTTTTCTTGAATTAAGTAAAATACAAAATTTTTCCCTCTTTCTGAGGTGAAAACCTGGTAGAAAAACCACCGGAGAACCCGTGACAAGACAAAGTTTTGTCGCTGACAAAGATTCTTTACAGAAAACCAAATTTAAAAAGCCTACTTTCATTCTTTTCTTGAATTATGTAAAATACAAAATTTTTCCCTTGTTCTCAGGTGAAAACCTGGTAGAAAAACCACCGGAGAACCCGTGACAAGACAAAGTTTTGTCGCTGACAAAGATTCTTTACAGAAAACCAAATTTTAAAATCCTACTTTCAATCTTTTCTTGAATTAAGTAAAATACAAAATTTTTCCCTTGTTCTCAGGTGAAAACCTGGTAGAAAAACCACCGGAGAACCCGTGACAAGACAAAGTTTTGTCGCTGACAAAGATTCTTTACAGAAAACCAAATTTTAAAATCCTACTTTCTTTATTTTCTTGAATTATGTAAAATACAAAATTTTTCCCTCGTTCTCAGGTGAAAACCTGGTAGAAAAACCACCGGAGAACCCGTGACAAGACAAAGTTTTGTCGCTGACAAAGATTCTTTACAGAAAACCAAATTTAAAAAGCCTACTTTCTTTAATTTCTTGAATTATGTAAAATACAAAATTTTTCCCTTGTTCTCAGGTGAAAACCTGGTAGAAAAACCACCGGAGAACCCGTGACAAGACAAAGTTTTGTCGCTGACAAAGATTCTTTACAGAAAACCAAATTTTAAAATCCTACTTTCTTTATTTTCTTGAATTATGTAAAATACAAAATTTTCACCTCGTTCTCAGGTGAAAACCTGGTAGAAAAACCACCGGAGAACCCGTGACAAGACAAAGTTTTGTCGCTGACAAAGATTCTTTACAGAAAACCAAATTTAAAAAGCCTACTTTCAATCTTTTCTTGAATTAAGTAAAATACAAATTTTTTCCCTCTTTCTGAGGTGAAAACCTGGTAGAAAAACCACCGGAGAACCCGTGACAAGACAAAGTTTTGTCGCTGACAAAGATTCTTTACAGAAAACCAAATTTAAAAAGCCTACTTTCAATCTTTTCTTGAATTAAGTAAAATACAAATTTTTTCCCTCTTTCTGAGGTGAAAACCTGGTAGAAAAACCACCGGAGAACCCGTGACAAGACAAAGTTTTGTCGCTGACAAAGATTCTTTACAGAAAACCAAATTTAAAAAGCCTACTTTCAATCTTTTCTTGAATTAAGTAAAATACAAATTTTTTCCCTCTTTCTGAGGTGAAAACCTGGTAGAAAAACCACCGGAGAACCCGTGACAAGACAAAGTTTTGTCGCTGACAAAGATTCTTTACAGAAAACCAAATTTTAAAATCCTACTTTCAATCTTTTCTTGAATTAAGTAAAATACAAAATTTTTCCCTTGTTCTCAGGTGAAAACCTGGTAGAAAAACCACCGGAGAACCCGTGACAAGACAAAGTTTTGTCGCTGACAAAGATTCTTTACAGAAAACCAAATTTTAAAATCCTACTTTCTTTATTTTCTTGAATTATGTAAAATACAAAATTTTCACCTCGTTCTCAGGTGAAAACCTGGTAGAAAAACCACCGGAGAACCCGTGACAAGACAAAGTTTTGTCGCTGACAAAGATTCTTTACAGAAAACCAAATTTAAAAAGCCTACTTTCTTTAATTTCTTGAATTATGTAAAATACAAAATTTTTCCCTTGTTCTCAGGTGAAAACCTGGTAGAAAAACCACCGGAGAACCCGTGACAAGACAAAGTTTTGTCGCTGACAAAGATTCTTTACAGAAAACCAAATTTAAAAAGCCTACTTTCAATCTTTTCTTGAATTAAGTAAAATACAAAATTTTTCCCTTGTTCTCAGGTGAAAACCTGGTAGAAAAACCACCGGAGAACCCGTGACAAGACAAAGTTTTGTCGCTGACAAAGATTCTTTACAGAAAACCAAATTTTAAAATCCTACTTTCTTTATTTTCTTGAATTATGTAAAATACAAAATTTTCACCTCGTTCTCAGGTGAAAACCTGGTAGAAAAACCACCGGAGAACCCGTGACAAGACAAAGTTTTGTCGCTGACAAAGATTCTTTACAGAAAACCAAATTTTAAAATCCTACTTTCTTTATTTTCTTGAATTATGTAAAATACAAAATTTTCACCTCGTTCTGAGGTGAAAACCTGGTAGAAAAACCACCGGAGAACCCGTGACAAGACAAAGTTTTGTCGCTGACAAAGATTCTTTACAGAAAACCAAATTTAAAAAGCCTACTTTCAATCTTTTCTTGAATTAAGTAAAATACAAAATTTTTCCCTTGTTCTCAGGTGAAAACCTGGTAGAAAAACCACCGGAGAACCCGTGACAAGACAAAGTTTTGTCGCTGACAAAGATTCTTTACAGAAAACCAAATTTAAAAAGCCTACTTTTAATCTTTTCTTGAATTAAGTAAAGTACAAATTTTTTCCCTCTTTCTGAGGTGAAAACCTGGTAGAAAAACCACCGGAGAACCCGTGACAAGACAAAGTTTTGTCGCTGACAAAGATTCTTTACAGAAAACCAAATTTAAAAAGCCTACTTTCAATCTTTTCTTGAATTAAGTAAAATACAAAATTTTTCCCTTGTTCTCAGGTGAAAACCTGGTAGAAAAACCACCGGAGAACCCGTGACAAGACAAAGTTTTGTCGCTGACAAAGATTCTTTACAGAAAACCAAATTTAAAAAGCCTACTTTCTTTATTTTCTTGAATTATGTAAAATACAAAATTTTCACCTCGTTCTCAGGTGAAAACCTGGTAGAAAAACCACCGGAGAACCCGTGACAAGACAAAGTTTTGTCGCTGACAAAGATTCTTTACAGAAAACCAAATTTAAAAATCCTACTTTCTTTATTTTCTTGAATTATGTAAAATACAAAATTTTCACCTCGTTCTCAGGTGAAAACCTGGTAGAAAAACCACCGGAGAACCCGTGACAAGACAAAGTTTTGTCGCTGACAAAGATTCTTTACAGAAAACCAAATTTAAAAAGCCTACTTTCAATCTTTTCTTGAATTAAGTAAAATACAAAATTTTTCCCTTGTTCTCAGGTGAAAACCTGGTAGAAAAACCACCGGAGAACCCGTGACAAGACAAAGTTTTGTCGCTGACAAAGATTCTTTACAGAAAACCAAATTTAAAAATCCTACTTTCTTTACTTTTCTTGAATTATGTAAAATACAAAATTTTCACCTCGTTCTCAGGTGAAAACCTGGTAGAAAAACCACCGGAGAACCCGTGACAAGACAAAGTTTTGTCGCTGACAAAGATTCTTTACAGAAAACCAAATTTAAAAAGCCTACTTTTAATCTTTTCTTGAATTAAGTAAAGTACAAATTTTTTCCCTCTTTCTGAGGTGAAAACCTGGTAGAAAAACCACCGGAGAACCCGTGACAAGACAAAGTTTTGTCGCTGACAAAGATTCTTTACAGAAAACCAAATTTAAAAAGCCTACTTTCAATCTTTTCTTGAATTAAGTAAAATACAAATTTTTTCCCTCTTTCTGAGGTGAAAACCTGGTAGAAAAACCACCGGAGAACCCGTGACAAGACAAAGTTTTGTCGCTGACAAAGATTCTTTACAGAAAACCAAATTTATAAAGCATACTTTCAATCTTTTCTTGAATTAAGAAAAGTACCAATTTTTTCCCTCTTTCTGAGGTGAAAACCTGGTAGAAAAACCACCGGAGAACCCGTGACAAGACAAAGTTTTGTCGCTGACAAAGATTCTTTACAGAAAACCAAATTTAAAAAGCCTACTTTCAATCTTTTCTTGAATTAAGTAAAATACAAATTTTTTCCCTCTTTCTGAGGTGAAAACCTGGTAGAAAAACCACCGGAGAACCCGTGACAAGACAAAGTTTTGTCGCTGACAAAGATTCTTTACAGAAAACCAAATTTAAAAAGCCTACTTTCAATCTTTTCTTGAATTAAGTAAAATACAAATTTTTTCCCTTGTTCTCAGGTGAAAACCTGGTAGAAAAACCACCGGAGAACCCGTGACAAGACAAAGTTTTGTCGCTGACAAAGATTCTTTACAGAAAACCAAATTTAAAATCCTACTTTCTTTATTTTCTTGAATTATGTAAAATACAAAATTTTCACCTCGTTCTCAGGTGAAAACCTGGTAGAAAAACCACCGGAGAACCCGTGACAAGACAAAGTTTTGTCGCTGACAAAGATTCTTTACAGAAAACCAAATTTAAAAAGCCTACTTTCAATCTTTTCTTGAATTAAGTAAAATACAAAATTTTTCCCTATGTTCTCAGGTGAAAACCTGGTAGAAAAACCACCGGAGAACCCGTGACAAGACAAAGTTTTGTCGCTGACAAAGATTCTTTACAGAAAACCAAATTTTAAAATCCTACTTTCTTTATTTTTTTGAATTATGTAAAATACAAAATTTTCACCTCGTTCTCAGGTGAAAACCTGGTAGAAAAACCACCGGAGAACCCGTGACAAGACAAAGTTTTGTCGCTGACAAAGATTCTTTACAGAAAACCAAATTTAAAAAGCCTACTTTCAATCTTTTCTTGCATTAAGTAAAGTACCAATTTTTTCCCTCTTTCTGAGGTGAAAACCTGGTAGAAAAACCACCGGAGAACCCGTGACAAGACAAAGTTTTGTCGCTGACAAAGATTCTTTACAGAAAACCAAATTTAAAAAGCCTACTTTCAATCTTTTCTTGAATTAAGTAAAATACAAATTTTTTCCCTCTTTCTGAGGTGAAAACCTGGTAGAAAAACCACCGGAGAACCCGTGACAAGACAAAGTTTTGTCGCTGACAAAGATTCTTTACAGAAAACCAAATTTAAAAAGCCTACTTTTAATCTTTTCTTGAATTAAGTAAAGTACAAATTTTTTCCCTCTTTCTGAGGTGAAAACCTGGTAGAAAAACCACCGGAGAACCCGTGACAAGACAAAGTTTTGTCGCTGACAAAGATTCTTTACAGAAAACCAAATTTAAAAAGCCTACTTTCAATCTTTTCTTGAATTAAGTAAAATACAAAATTTTTCCCTTGTTCTCAGGTGAAAACCTGGTAGAAAAACCACCGGAGAACCCGTGACAAGACAAAGTTTTGTCGCTGACAAAGATTCTTTACAGAAAACCAAATTTTAAAATCCTACTTTCTTTATTTTCTTGAATTATGTAAAATACAAAATTTTCACCTCGTTCTGAGGTGAAAACCTGGTAGAAAAACCACCCGAGAACCCGTGACAAGACAAACCTTTGTCGCTGATAAAGATTCTTTACAGAAAACCAAATTTAAAAAGCCTACTTTCAATCTTTTCTTGAATTAAGTAAAATACAAATTTTTTCCCTCTTTCTGAGGTGAAAACCTGGTAGAAAAACCACCGGAGAACCCGTGACAAGACAAAGTTTTGTCGCTGACAAAGATTCTTTACAGAAAACCAAATTTAAAAAGCCTACTTTCTTTAATTTCTTGAATTATGTAAAATACAAAATTTATCCCTTGTTCTCAGGTGAAAACCTGGTAGAAAAACCACCGGAGAACCCGTGACAAGACAAAGTTTTGTCGCTGACAAAGATTCTTTACAGAAAACCAAATTTTAAAATCCTACTTTCAATCTTTTCTTGAATTAAGTAAAATACAAAATTTTTCCCTTGTTCTCAGGTGAAAACCTGGTAGAAAAACCACCGGAGAACCCGTGACAAGACAAAGTTTTGTCGCTGACAAAGATTCTTTACAGAAAACCAAATTTTAAAATCCTACTTTCTTTATTTTCTTGAATTATGTAAAATACAAAATTTTCACCTCGTTCTCAGGTGAAAACCTGGTAGAAAAACCACCGGAGAACCCGTGACAAGACAAACTTTTGTCGCTGACAAAGATTCTTTACAGAAAACCAAATTTAAAAAGCCTACTTTCAATCTTTTCTTGAATTAATTAAATTACAAATTTTTTCCCTATTTCTGAGGTCAAAACCTGGTAGAAAAACCACCGTAGAACCCGTGACAAGACAAAGTTTTGTCGCTGACAAAGATTCTTTACAGAAGACCAAATTTAAAAAGCCTACTTTCAATCTTTTCTTGAATTAAGTAAAATACAAATTTTTTCCCTCTTTCTGAGGTGAAAACCTGGTAGAAAAACCACCGGAGAACCCGTGACAAGACAAAGTTTTGTCGCTGACAAAGATTCTTTACAGAAAACCAAATTTAAAAATCCTACTTTCTTTATTTTCTTGAATTATGTAAAATACAAAATTTTCACCTCGTTCTCAGGTGAAAACCTGGTAGAAAAACCACCGGAGAACCCGTGACAAGACAAACTTTTGTCGCTGACAAAGATTCTTTACAGAAAACCAAATTTAAAAATCCTACTTTCTTTATTTTCTTGAATTATGTAAAATACAAATTTTTTCCCTCTTTCTGAGGTGAAAACCTGTAGAAAAACCACCGGAGAACCCGTGACAATATAAATTTTTGTCGCTGACAAAGATTCTTTACAGAAAACCAAATTTAAAAAGCCTACTTTCAATCTTTTCTTGAATTAAGTAAAGTACAAATTTTTTCCCTCTTTCTGAGGTCAAAACCTGGTAGAAAAACCACCGGAGAACCCGTGACAAGACAAATTTTTGTCGCTGTCAAAGATTCTTTACAGAAAACCACATTTATAAAGCATACTTTCAATCTTTTCATGAATTAAGTCAAATACAAAATTTTTCCCTTGTTCTCAGGTGAAAACCTGGTAGAAAAACCACCGGAGAACCCGTGACAAGACAAAGTTTTGTCGCTGACAAAGATTCTTTACAGAAAACCAAATTTAAAAAGCCTACTTTCAATCTTATCTTGAATTAAGTAAAATACAAAATTTTTCCCTTGTTCTCAGGTGAAAACCTGGTAGAAAAACCACCGGAGAAACCGTGACAAGACAAAGTTTTGTCGCTGATAAAGATTCTTTACAGAAAACCAAATTTAAAAATCCTACTTTCTTTATTTTCTTGAATTATG